TACAACATTACAACAATTGTTTAGAATATCGATGTATATGTAATACGTGGAAGAAAACAAAATTTTGTGAAATGATTTTAAGAAAATCACTCCCCCCCCCCTCCCCCGAAAATATATAGGTCATTTTCACGAAAATATATAGGTCATTCTTCGATTGACAATTTTTCACCAATTATATTACTTTCGTGATTATTGTTCATTAATTATCATACATGCTTCTGAGAGAGAATGTTAATCATTAATTGTGTGTGTGTTTATCTTCTTGTTAATGATGGAATGGTTTAATACAACACCTGCACAGATTTCTGATCGCACGTGTGTAGAACTAGGCTATTTGTTGCGGATGCAAATGTAAAGTTGCGACAAAATATAGTTCATCATTCTGGCCAAAAAAAAAATCTCAAATATCTTTGTACCGTCTTCACATGCCATCCATCCAGAGTATTATATTTCTTGCAAGCAACGGTGTGCGCACACTGTTTGCTAGTAACGCAAGACTGGTGACAGTATTTGCTACGGACAAGAAGAACTGTACATCAGATTCATAACAAGTGCAGTTTTTTTTTTCTTAGAGATCAGCTAAAAACAGTGCAAATTCAAGTCCTAGTAACTTAAAAGTCAAATATTTTGGATATGGGGTAATCCATATCTATTCTTGAGATAATAAAAATTCAAAGTAATTGAGAATACCGCAAGTTTTTAAAGACCTTATATTTTTGCCTTGTTGACATCTTTTCCAAACTTCTCTCTGGTTTCATATGATGACATTCATCTACGAATTTTCTGCATTCATGGTAAGCAACCTAATAAACTTAAATGATACACATGGTGATGGTTTACTTTTCTATCGGTTTCGATGTATCAAGTAGTTTGTTAACGTTACACTTGATAATGACAATAGCATGTACTGAAAAGTTCTTCCCAACTCACTTGCATAATTTTCCCTAGAATATACACAATTTGGTGCTCATTCTGTCCATTTGCCATCAGATATTTCCTCGTATCACTCCAATGATGAATAATTAATGACGACATACAGGACAGAATCTCATCGTACTTGTTCTGATCAGTCACTAAATGTATTCGAAAATCTTCGCTTATTGTCCTGTAAGTGTGTCCACCTTCTAATGTGTTCTTACTTTTCTCTTCAGAGACGTCATTAGATTTAGTCTTAATTTGTTCAGCTTCTACTTTTTTCTTCAGTCTTGAAAACAAATAACATTATATAAATTCAGTCTGCAACTATTGACACTAGCACTAGTACACCAATATTACCTAACGTGAGAAACATATTTATTTTCACTATTACTCACTGTTCCTCTAGATCTTTAAATTGGTATTGTAATCTTCTGACCTCTCTATATTTTTCTGCATATTCACCTTCTAGTCTGTAAATATACATAAAATCATTCTGATATTCATATAAAAGTATCAAAGCCTTTTATTAAAGTTTAAATATATTTACTTCAAACGATCTGCTTCAGTTAAAGTGTGTTTTGTGTTTAAGTTTATAAGGGCCACTCTGTACGTCTGAATGTCTCCTTCAACTTCTTTTATCTTTGTAGTCAATCTGAAAATAACAAAAACATTTAAACTCCAGTTTTGTAGTAAAAATTTTTCTCCAGTAATATCTATAGGATGACCATCTGAAATACAGAGGCTGCCATATATGCACCATAATATTTTATGCTTTTAGCAAAAATTTGGATACAAATGTATAAAGACTATCATTACTTGAACATTCAATACCTCTCTTCATTCTGTTCAAATTCCTTAGTAATCCTGTCCATCTCTTCAGCTTTTATAGAAAGTGTATCTTCCAACTGGTTAATCTTCTGTTTTAGATTTTCTATTTGATCATATAACCTGGGAGACAAAAAAACCCACTTACTTGTTAAATTTAGAAATAAAAGATCATTAATAACAGATGATTTTTAGAACTGATAATACACTACAACAAATTGAAAATCAAAATTTTCTTATTTCAATTTCTCTATGCGTTTATATATATATATATATATATACATATTATTTTTTTTTTTTACAAATGACACAATGTTTTCCATTAAGACAAAGAATGAGATCAAATTTTCCGGAAAATGAAACCAGCATATAAGTTACTAGATAAACATACTTATATTGACAAGTTTCGGAAGTCTGAAGTTCTTTTCTAAGACAATTAATGGTTTTTATGTGTCTGTCGTCTGACTCTTGTAAACTCCGTATTCGGAGTTTGTATTCCTGGCAATCATCCTCCAAATGTTTTATATCACTTTCCAATTTATCAATAACATCAATGAGTGAACGATGTACAGGAGATATTTCTTCTTGATCCAGCGAGGCTGACGATTGATGCTTACAAGGCCACAGTTCAGAATTATTGCTGTAACCATTGCTCTAAAACAGAGTAAAAAGTATCTTTCTACTAACAAATAAAATTTTGCTTAATTATCATGACTCATATGTGTAGGTCTAAATTACAAAATAAATATAACTTTTGATAATAAAACAGTTGCTATATAAACAAGCATTCTGAGAGTATTGCATTAGCAATACTAGTCCCTTCCGGCAAGTGTAACCTGGTTCCCGCTAAAAATTGAAAATGCCATAATTCCGTCAAAAATTAATGAAACGGAATGAAATGCAAACTTGATCTATAACTCATCAAGGTTAAGTCACATGCCAAAAATCAGCTCAATATCTGCAAGCGTTTAGAAAAAAATTGCGGAAAACCCTGAAAAATTGAAAATGCCATAATTCCGTCAAAAATCACTGATGCGGAACGAAATGCAAACTTGATCTGTAACTCATCAAGATAGACTCACATACCAAAAATCAGCTCAATATCTGCAAGCGTTTAGAAAAAAAAAGTGCGGAAAACCAAGTGGGACAGACTGACAGACAGACAGATGGACAGACAGACAGACAGAAAGACGGACGGACAGACTCAGAGGAAACCTATAGTCCCCTCCGGTTTCACCGGTAGGGGACTAATAAAAATATCAAAAGTGGTTGTAAATATGGTATGGAAGATACAATACCTCTAAATAATGCCTGAAATGTTTTTCCATAGTTTTGATATTTGCCAAAATTTGGTTGTCGAGCTCTGATATATCCAATTTTCGTCGGGCTTTTCCTTTCATAGCTTTTTCATTTTCCAGACCTTCTAATCGTTTTATAGAAAGTCTTAAAATAGGTAAATCTTCCGTTTCATCCCTAGGCATACTGCAAACATTCAAAAATCTGTGACATTTTAATTCACGAAACATCTTTAAGATGTACTTCTTGAGAAATAAATAAATCATGGAAAGAGCTTTAATTTTCTCTTTCACTTGTAATTTTTTTTAAAATTATAATGATGATCATTTTTTTTAAATACAATAAATAGCATAAAAACGTTCGTATAACTAACGTACAAGAAGTTTACCTACATTTCATTTCTTTTTGTCCTTACTTCACGCCATATTTTATGATAATGAAGACGATACGCTTCGGTAGTGAAATGGTATCTATCTGATAAAGTGTTATTTTCTTGTGATTATTTTTACTAAAGGCAATGTTGCATTAAAATATTTACCTTCTTTTTGAGGTGCAAGACATCCTTGATAGTCGCACAATCTTCTTAGAGTGTTGGTATATCTGTAGAGATTTACTGTCTGGTGCAAAATTAGAGTTATCTTCCTTGCTTTGGGGAGACTTCATTATTCAAAACTGCGGGGCGCCATGGGATATATGTTTCATAGTTACAAAAAAGGTGGTAAATATTACCAACAATCGGGACTAATTGGAAAAATAATCAAAAATCAAAATAATAGGCAAATACAATTATAAATATAAAATGTACTTTGAGTGTACATATTTTCTCTTTAAGGAGGGATTCTTCTCATATTCTTCTCATATTTCTTGTATTTAAATATTAATGAAATTTTCATAGATTCAAGAAGACATTATCACTAAGTGATGGTATCAATTAGATTTGTTAAAATAGTCATATAAATATACAAAATGATACAAAAACAAAAAAGCTTTGACCGTTTAGTAAGAGAGAAAAAACACCTTTTACTGATTTTTTGCTCAAATCTGTTTTTAGGTTGGAAGCTTTCAACAGCCAACAAAATTGTAGTTTATTTAGAAAATCATTGCTATTTGCTATAATTTAAAACTTTAGGGCATTATTATTAATTTTAGTTACATTTCAAAATTTTATTATTAATTTTATTATCATTTTACTATTAATTTTAGTTACATTTCAAAATTTCTTTAAGTCTTTGATTGTTTAAAAAAATTAACTAAATGTATTGTTTTCTAAGTGATTTTAATAGGCAGAAAAGGAAATATTTTCATACGCCGCAGTTCCGCCAAAAATATAGTCCCTGCTGGATTTCAAACTCAGTTTACCATTTCTATTTAAAATTATACAATTATGATGAGTAAAGAAAAATATGATCCTTTAAATACATTACAGCTAAGTATATAAGACATACAAGCAAATATACTTGGAATATTTCGTCTAGTCAGAAACCAGACAAGGATCCCTCCTTAAGTCAAATTAATGTTCAATGTTTAACTCTGATTCCATCATCGCTGGGAAAATCAAAAACGTTCGAGGAAAGCATTCATATTTTTATAAAGGTTGAAAGATCAATATTATTGAGATGTTGAGAGAGAAGACTGCATTATACAGAGCTGAATTTACTTTGAAGGATCATTATTATACTCTCCTTTTATTTAAAAAAAATATATTGAAGTCTTCCCGTTTTAGCCAACATTCCAAAATCTACTTGCGAAAGAAAAAAATTTATTAAAGGTTGAATGTCGTCCAGACAGCAAACAATAATTTGAAGTTTTTAGTAACAGGATGTTATAAGCATTTATTTCAATTACATATTCACTATAAAATGTGTTTTAAAAGATGCTTGGTAAAAAAAAAAATCCTTGCAATTGTTTTGAAGAGATAACATTTCTCTATAAAAGAAAAAACACAAATCAGTTTATAAAGGTTTATTCAATGCCCACAAATTATGTATTTCGTCAATAAGACTTCAAATTTAGTAACGTTTCTTGCCATTACACAACTTTATGCTGGAATGCAAACCTACAGCTAATATACATCAACAATTTTTAAATATTGATTTATTGTGCATAACTTGATATCTTTTAATTCAAAGGCAATGTGAGATTGGTAAACCACACATCTGCCAACCACTAATAATAAATAGCTGAAAGAAATCGCTTTTTACATAACAAAATCAACAACATACATGTATACCAATACACTCTATTAATATTATGGCTTTACTATACGCTGATAACCATGGTTTCCTGTGTACATGTATTTAAAATGGTTTTTGAACACATAAAAGTTTAGATCCACGGCATAGAGAAATGTTTATCATACGCATACAATAAAACTACCATCACAAATAAAATCAAGATTAGATATGAGCTTTCTTTGAAAGCAAACTCTACTGCAAATTTTATGGTTTGCATTCACAATAAGAACTTGATTTAAATTCTGGATTTCCATGTATAATTCTCCAAATTATATATGAAATTAAAATTCAGAACTAAAGATAGAACCCCACGTAGTTATACCTCGCTTTCATTACTAATTACACGATTGGTCCCTTGTGCAACCCCTTTACTAAGTAGTGGTCCATCTTTGTGTAGGTATAGCACTGGCCATACCATGAAGGCCACAGTATTACCACACTTCGTATACGATTTCAGAACGTCTTTATCAAACTCAGAGATTCCGCTTCTAAAGTCCCACTGCATGTAGATTGGAGGGTTTTGGATGACCATTAACCAACAATACTGAACACAACACTGAATGTATTCACTACAAGCAGTTAACTGAACAGAACTAAGTAAGTCTTTTGTTAACTCTTCCTTAATTTTCTGTAATATAAAAATTGTATGTAATGTAAATCAATGCAAGTTAATATTCAGTGCATAAACATATTTTGCATTTCCATCTTTTATATATTTGTACCCGAAGGCAAGAAGTACCACACATTTCACTAGATGTATCAAAATTTATCAAGTGATTAATCATGTTTTATTATTTTTTCTTGATTTTGCATCCTTCAATCCAATAAAGTAGCATGTTTCTTATTTTGAAAATTATAACCTGCTGAATAACTTGTTCAAATATGCACTAATTAATAAAAATTAATGTTACACGCCTAGAGATATACCTCAGTAAGAACTTTAACAGTTTTGTCTGATAATTGTTTCCTACAATCGTACACCAGCTGAAGAACCTCATTTGACACACTGTCCAACTCCTGAAAAAGTAGAGAAGACGAAATAGGAGGAAAAGGAAACAGCTAAGTTGAAAGGCAGATTCAAATTAACTTATTAACTGTATTTTTTATTCAGTAATACTGTACCCCATTAACACATTCTTTGGTGTTTCCTGGTGAAAACAGCGGATTGTAAAGCAGTGCTTCGATTTGCGCAAGCTGTTCTTTTTCATAAGATTGACACTTTTTATATATTGTCTGAAATATACAAAAAATGTTTTTCATGTGTTTTTTTGTAAATATAAATATGAAGTTTTTAATTCGAATGTTCATATCTATGTTGCCCGTTAATAATATGCATTATAAAGTGTTCTCTTTGTGACAGGCATCCAGAAGTGGAGCCCTTTTTTCGTTCCTGCCCCGAGTCTTCCAAGAATTGACCGAACAACCAATTCAAACATCTCTTCTTTTTTTTTTTAAATAAATAAATAAAATAATAAATAAAAAAAATCGTCATTTAAAATTTTTTCCGATTTCTTAAATTTTCTTTTCTTACGTTTTAATATGAATGTGGCCAAAAAATAATTTCAAGAATTAAGAGACAGATTTTTCCTTCTTCAGATACATTTCTTACCGTAATAATATCTAAAAGTATCTTGATTCCCTTTTCTTCTTCTACTCCTATACACTCTAGATTTTCTATTGCATTAGTCCATTGATTGTCATAGAGTTCCGAATATTTTTCTGCTATCTTCAGAGGTCGATTGGGGTCACTCAAATCCGTTACATTAGGATTCTTAGACCGCATACTTTGTGATGCTGTTTCTGTTAACCTACAAAGAGAGAATTTAAACATTTTCTCTCCTCATTTTATCTACATTGTGCCTTGTTTTTTGATTTTATCATAAGTTATGCTATTATACCTGTCCAACGCCTTTTCTTTAGCTTTGCGCTCCTCGTGTAGATTTTGCTGCAGTCTGTGTATTGTATTCTGATTCTGGTGCCTACAAATAGCAGAATAAAACAAAACTTTTTATACTTATTTTCTGAAAGGAATTATTAAATGGTCTTCATGTGTCGATATATACTTACTCTGCATGCTCCTTTTCTTGTAACCTTGTTTCCAGTTCTTTATTTTCTTTTTCATATTTTTCTATTTTTTGAAGTAGTCTATAATAAAAAGAATTTTAAAAGTGATATATTTAAAAAAAAAAGTGTTTAAAGTAAACTGTTGTATAGTTCATAGATTTATCTTTTAATTAACTTGTTTTCTTCTAAACTCAAACCTTTTTTCTTTGTTGGCATAATCTATTTGTGTTTTCTTATCTTCTTCTACAGAACTCAAAGATGATATTGATGTTTCCTCAGTCCTGTAACAATATTATATATGATAAATTATTCATTGTGCAAATCGGTAATTTATTAACGCAAAAACTCGTATATGTGTATACAAATTCCACAAGAAACATTACCCTAAATTCTTTTCGTTTTCTGTTTCATCTTCATCTGCTCTGTTTGCATTTAAGGTAGAGTGCAAGCCTCTCATTGCCCCAGCATTGCGTTTTGATAATCTACAACAATTTATCAAATACATGTAAATAAATCTGCGCCAAAATAACCCTGGCTCTTAATAACAACTAGTCTTTGAATTTCCAGTGTACATTGTTATACAACAAAATTACTTACTCTTTATTATCATTAATGGTATCTTCCAATAGTTTTTCTAAATCCGAATTTTCTTGCTTAAGTTTTTCATTTTCCTTCGCCAGTTTCTCTGTTTTATCCTTTAGATCGTGAATTATATATTTAGATGTATCTGGGGTACCATTTTCATCTTTTTTGGGAAGTCTTCCCCTTGAATATCGTCGGTTCTCGTATTCCGGGACCGGACCTTGGTCTGAATCAGACTGGCGTTTTAGTCTTATCTCACTACGTAATGTCTCTACTTCGCGTTTCAAACGCTGAATTTCAAAATCTTTGTCTTGTAGACGTTTGTCATTATAATTACTTCTTCTCAACTCACGAATGTCATCTTTAAGTTTGGCAATTTCATTTTCATAACTATCAGTCATTTCTTTCCGCACTGTGGCAACACCAACACGCTGGAAAAGAAATTAAACTCCCTTTTAAACAACTGATTTTGTATTTCTTTGTTAAGTGGATCACCAACTTTCTTTTGATCGTAAACTACGTAGAACCCTATTATCGCTAACATTAATGACATCTGATTTGTCCATTTCCTCCTTTTGATTTAACATGTACATCGCCGTAAATACTTGCCAGATTGTGTACGATTCTCTAAAAATGAAATCTCGGTTTTTGGCGTAAACAAACACTAGACATTAAACTATTTTCGTTTGTGCATGTTTGTGCTGTAAATCAATGAGCTTTTGTTGGAATTTCAGTTACACATAATAAAACTTCTTGATTTGTTTACAAACTGATTTCTTTTCATGCTCTCGTGTCAAATTTGCTAAAAACCTTCATTGAAATTTTAATGAACTGATTCAGATAAAACAGACAAGATAATAATATCTTTATTCGCTCCTGTCACAAAATATGCAGTATCTTGTAAAGTTAGCAAATGGACACTCAAAAAAGACAATACCGTTGCTATCATGCTGGCATACGTATACACATGCTCAACGTGCTCCCGGAAGTCGTGGTCCAGCTTTGGTCGTTTGGTCGTCTGCTCCCAGTCTCGATGCAGATCTTTCAGTGCACTGACCTCCTGCTTCAGGCGCTTCATGATTTTGTGAAGGTCTTCATGTTCGTAACCCGCGGGCCTGAATTAACATAATAATTGATATTTGTTAGTAAAACTTTTATTTTAAAAGGGGGAAAATCATCAGTAATGTTTAACTATTTCATCAAATTCAAATTATAGTTCATGATATACCCAGTACTGAATATGTCTTTGATTAATTTCAACCAAAAAATACCGAGATCATTGTAACAGATATAGTTAGATAAACTATAAATTTAATACGCAGTATTCTTGAAAACTAAATATAAAATTATTTAAACGTGCATATTTTGCATGATTGATCATTGTTGATTATATATTACCAATTCATTGATCCGATTAATCCTGCATTAAGCCCTTGTAAACCAGGCACATAAACAAAGACTTACTTTGTTATTTCTTCGAACTTTCCAGTAGATTTCTTCTTATTTTTTCTTTTCGACAATCTAACACTCATGCGTCGAAAGAAACCGGGTTTATCCTCTTTTTCTTCAACTTCGACGTCCATCTCCTCCATTTTCTTTCTGTTTAAATACCCGGATAAAAAGCAACAACTAGATCAATAAAAACATGTCGTGTAAAAACACCTGTAATTGGTTCGGAGAGCTGGGTCTACCTTCCTGTCTTTCGGGAGTTCTTGTATCTTGCCGTATACACCTTTATCGAAATAGATTATAGGTGCAATTGACGACGTTGATAATATTGCACAACGGACGCCAGGTAGTTTTCTTTCAGAAAGCCATCTGTCGCTTTGTTAGTCATGCAACCAACCATGACGGTTTACCTGTGCGTACTGTACGGTAGCACAGAGTTAGAATAATTATTACATGTGACAGTGATTTGTACGGGAAATTTGATTCCTCTCGATTTTATTTATTACTCGAAGAAAAAAGTTGCATCCCTCATAAAGCTTTAAATAGTTTATACAGTATCCTGATAATGCAAAATAATAGTAATATATAATCAGGGCATATATCATTTTTGGTAATCCACTGTTTAATTCTAGAAGTATTGCCCTTTCTCCATTATATATACTGAGTCAATTGCAATTCTGATAAGTTTTCCTGGTTCCCTTGCGAATTGATTTTTTATTAAACCGAATATGCATTTCGTAGGATCAGAGAAATCTTCAAAATTTGGCGATAAAACCAAAGGTGTAATATGTTTGTGTTTCCGATAAATCAAAGATATATATAAGAAACTAGGACGTTCATTTAATTAATTAAATTAATCTTTTTTTAATTATTTTTGATCAATTTTTCTTTGAAATTTATCCATTTCATTAACCAGGCGCGGATCCAGGAATTGAAGTTAGAGGGGGCGCCAAAAGTAGGCAGGGGGTCAGGAAGCTCCTGGATTCTAGAGTTTTTGTAGGTAAAAATGAGGTCTACCGAGTAGACATATTTACATTTTCTCGACGAAACTATGATTTATGCTAACTTTGACACTTTTGGGGGGGGGGCGCCGGGTGCGCCCCCCTTAAATCCGCCACTGTTAACTTTAAAATTTAAACACTTTTCCTAATTACTTTTTTTTAAGGAACTTTAATTTCTGATCACATAGTGAAATAAAAAAGGAAAGACGTCATAAATTAACAATATACTTTAACAAAATTATGAATACATATATTTCTATGAAAACTATTAAAGTTAACAATGATGATTTCTATTATAAATGAAATATATCTCTTTGTCACCAAAAACGTTCAAAAGATCAAGAAAAAAAAACTCATATTCAGTGTTAGGAATAGCAATATGAATAAATGTAATCTGTATGCTATAGATAAGAAATATATGTATAGTGTATAAGTCAAATTACTGGTCTTGAAAATATTATGTACATGCAATTCTGGTGATCTCTTGTCGTAAGTTACAAAGCATAATATATATAAGTACGCTGAAAAACCAAGCATATTAAAAAATTTTGATTGAAAAATTCAGATGAATTTTACAAACATCTTATGTATGAAAGTAATAGATTTGTGGAATTTTTTATTGCACAAAAATAGAAATTCATCAAGTTTGATTGTTTGTTTGTCCTCTATTACTGTACTTTTGTATACTCGCTATTAAGAGGGTTTCAGGGGTTGCACAACCCCTTTTGACAATAAGGCACCTCCATTTTCTATCAGAACTGCAGGCCATACCACGAAATCCAGGACTTCTCCTTGCTGAGTATACTCTGAAAACATGTTGCGATCAAATTTTTTCCCATGACTACCTCCGCAAACAATACGCATTGGTGGGGATTGAACCACCATACACCAAGTTATTTTTGCACATTCTGCAGCAAATGTTTTGACACTTTCTGGAAGAGGGTGCTCAAAATTTTCGTCAATGTCAAGTGATTGGCAGAATTTCTAAAGATCAAATATGAAAATCACAACATTTTAGATTATACAAAATTGCATGATTGTACGATTTGATTTTTATTTGATCTGTGAAGGATTTTATAGGGATTTAATATATATATATATATATATATATATATATATATATATATATATATATATATATATATATATATGGTAGGATATTGTAGGGACTTACTTGAGCTACACCAGGTGTCATTAAATCAGCGGTGGACTTCTGAAGCTGTTGAATCAGTCTTTTACTTTCATCGTTTAACTGTAGGAAAAGGATGTACACTTATTTACTTACTATTCTGTACCTTGATTTATTAGCTACAATTGAATTGCATGAAAAGGCAATGAGAGTCAAAAATAGAAATACTTGGATATTGTCCTTGCCATCACCAAACACGGCCGATGTCAGTCTCCGTGTCATCTCTCGGCTTTCATTTTCACAGAACTCAAAACTTGACTGTAATGGAAGTCATAAGGTTAAATATTTTCAAAGTTAAAGTTTTTTTTATGCTGTAAACTTACATATTTATCAATTTATTCGTATACAGTTTGCTGAAAAAAGATTGACATGCAAAAGTCATGATAATTATTTACACGCAAAAGTCGTGTTAATTATATGGAACAAACATAGATAATACGTTTAATCTATATACCCCCACCCTTCATGGTTTTCATCCGACCCATTGACCTCGTGTACCTGAATGATATATAACAAGGTGGAAATAGATTTCTTTTCCGACAGAGGATCGTCTTGTGGTAAAACGTCTAATGCTGCCATCCATTCATCATTATACAGTTCTTGGAATCTCTCGGCAATCTTTGTAGGTCTGTTCTGTGTGTTTAGGTCAGTGAATTGTACATTTCCATCCGTAAGTCGTGATCCTGATATCTCACTTAATCTGCAATGTTTAAAATTTTCTTAAAGAAATTTAAAATCAATGTACAACACATCAAACAGGAAGAAGTAATTTCGTTCAAACATCTAACCAATCTATAATTTGAATGTTTAAAGAACATACCCCCGTTTATTAGTTTATCAGTATTTTTTTTTATTTAGATGTAGCTTTGTTAATGTCTATTCTATTTTATTATTATTTTTCTTTATTGTGACTATCCTCAATGATGCATTCTAAAAGGTGTATATAAGAATATTTCATTTTAGCCTTCATACCAGCTTGTCAGAATCTACAGTAGAATCCATTTACATGTAATCAAATTTAAGAGAATGCATTTTGGCGAAAACAAACCTTGTTAACAATTCTTCTTTCTCCTGTATAACTTTCCGCAGATCTTCTTCTAGACCAGCCATTTTCTCTCTGAGATGAATGTTTTCCTTTTTGGTATCCTGAACAGATTTTTCCATATTCAATTCTTTGCTTCTGGTGTCGTTCACAACCATCTGTTTGAAAGGGGTTTGCTTCATGTCATTTTGCCTCGTTCCTGGACTTGGTGCAGCTGTATTTATGCGTATTCCAGTAAGCCTATGTATTTCATCCTGAAAAGGAACAAAATTATACATCTAATGTTAACATTACTTTAAGTGCCTATTTGCGAAAAGAAGTGACACAATATGTACAAACAACATGATTTCTCAAAGATAAGTCTAAATCACATTAAATGCGGACTGATTAAGATAAAATCGTACCTTCCATCTATGAAGGTGGTGATCGACGTCAGCACAAAGTGCCCTTATTCGTTTCATTTGATCATCCACCGATATTTTCCTTCCAGGTTTCGGTATATCCTTGACAGCAATTTTCCAGCCTGAAATCGTATCCTTCATCTGTTTCCTTATGGAGTCCTGGCGATCCACCAACTGTTCAATCAAATGGACTTTACTTGCAGAAGTTGGGCGCATGATTCTCGGCGAATCTGGAGGTCGCTGGTACCGAAGATGGTTAGCAAATTCAGGAGAGGAAGGAGAAGGTGGATTGGCCGAATACACAACATGGGATCTTCTGCTGAAGTCACTGACGTCAGAACTGTGATACTGAAGTCGAGGCCGTTGGCGGGGAGCTTGTCTCCCTGAGTCTAGGAAACTATTTGATGGGTAATATACGACAGGCTGGACACCAAACTGAGGGTTTGAAATAGGTATATTAATGGGCACATTCCTCATTTTACGATTGGCCATCTTAGGTGCTGGATTACAATCTTCAACTAAATGATAGAAAACATGAGTTCACATATCCGATAGAATGCCGAATCAATCCGGTTCATTGAAATAGAGGTTCACTTATAAATGCAAAAAGATCCCAAAAAGCACACAGGATAAAATAATTTAGGTTTTATTAAAGATGTTCAAAGCAAAAATGTATCAAAGATTGTAAACAAATAGGGTAAATTATGCTATCAGTGCAAGACCTTACCAGTTAAAGAGTCTATCAAGCCAATTACACAGAAATTCAGGTCTCAAGTTTCGCTTTTGAGTAACACTTATAATCCAGAACAAAAAGACATTGTCTCATTTCATCGTAGTAAATGTATGTCGAAAAGACATACATAGTTTTGTGCCTGAAAAATTAAATACCAAACGTATTTAAAGGTATACATGTACATGAATCTCCCGGCAAGCTATACACCCATTATTCCTCACGCCAAGAGATCCGACGATTACTTGTAATAAACAGTTCTGTTATTTAACACTGAAAAGGAGGTCATGTTATAATGTTATAGATGGCAGTCAATAGGATGTTGACGCTCTTTTTAGTCTTAATACCGGTAATATTCCAGTTTCTTAAGAAAACCGGTTCTTGAAGAAATAGGACATACGGATATACTTAAAGCATTTTATACAAATTTTATTTAAGTCAATATAATAACTGACCTTTTTCTGCCTGACAGTACAGTTTCATTATTAGAGCAGTCAATTTTACAACACTTTGTTTTGCTTTACATCTGCATGTAAGTTACCTCAATAGTAGAAGATAAAGTGCAATTTTTATTCAAAACTATTATTAGAAATATATGAGTAAAGAAAATTATCTTCAAATGGTTTGCAATCGATCTCTATCCCAAATTGCAGGTGAAAAAACTGTACCATTCATTTAAGAATAACATGTTGCTAACATTAAAATCATAAGGAAGTTTGTCTTAAAATTGATGGTGATAACGGTTAGATGCTTAATTATATTTCAGTTTGTTTATGCTTCAAGTTTGAAATCATTTAAAAACAATTTTTTAGGGTAAAAAATAAATGCTCAAAATAAAAAGGGTTTACTATATAATCTCACATCAGTTATAAATGTATTTATTACATTTTCAACAATGAAATACTGTGATTTATTTATTGAATAAAAGTGATATTCTCTCACAGTATGAAAGTATACCAAAATGATATTCTCCCACAGTGTGAAAGGATATTAAAGTAAGTAAAAAATAATTTCTGGCCTGTCATAAGATAGAGATAGTAACTAAGCATCTTGATAGAGCTAAAACTGCAAATTTCTTCCCAAATATATTGCTAAAATCCATGCTATGTAATGTTTTCAATCACACAACTGCTAAGCTACGGTCGACGTCTCAACCGCTCAACTATGACGTCAAGCCTATGACACTGTGTTAAGAAAAGACAGAGGCAAAGGGAAAATCAAAGAAAATGTAATAAACAGAAAATTCAATGTTTTGTAGATGAATATGGAATTTATTTCACTCGTGAGACAAGATTTTTTGATATTTTTACTCGTGCTTCGCACTCGTGAAAATATAAAAAAATCCTGTCCCACTCGTGAAATAAATTCCATATTCATCTACAAAACATTGAATATCCTCTATATATTTTTCTCGCAGATATTTAACTTATTTAAATATGCAAATTTATCATGCTACAAGACGGGGACTGAAATTATTTGTATTGTATAAAGCAAACATAAATAAGTTTTTCTTTCGTGGTATCATCTCTTCTGGTTGATATGTTTCCTAAAATCTTTAAGCATTTAAAATTTCAAATTCAAACTGACGGCTCTAGTAAGACTGACAGCCCAATCAAATACACAAACAAAGAAGCAACCAATGAAAATAGAACATAAACCTGACAAAAGAGGGGGAATTCGTTTAGTATTTGAATGAAGAGATCTCGATAAAAATGCAAACCAAAAAATACCACTTAAAAAAAATAATAAAATTCAGTTCTTGTCTTTAATAAGTTAATTCAATCCGCTCAGCGACTTCTGAAGTTCAACAGGTACTTCTCTATATATTTTTTATCGCTTTTTTATATTATTTTTAATAAACATTATTTAATTTATAGTACAACATGATATAAGAAATATATCAATAATACATATTCCATTAAATAAGTTATTTAACATATGAAAATATTTCTAGACTATTGCAGTATCATAAAAGTAACATAATCAGATGCAAAGTAGATTCTTTAACATACATTGTATCTGAAAGATTTTGACAGTAATAGTAAATGTATGTCTTTCACTCCAGTTTAAGGACCCTCTATACACAACTACAAAATGTTTCTGATCACTAAGAAAATCATATTGTATAAATGTGTTAACATTGAACTTATCTATTAAATTTTCAATATATGGTACATGGGATTTACCCCCAAGAAAAATGTTCAAAGCCAATAAAGTATCAATGAACAGAAATCCAGTTGTTTAATTTATCTTGATCTTTTAAAATTTTTAGAATTTCTTTTTTTTAGAATCCTTGAATTGATTACAAATTGAGTAATGCACTGCATATTTCAATTTATTTGAATTTAGATCCAAGGGCAGATCACTCTAACTGCAGAAAAATACCACAGAGTCAGAACTATTTACTGTGTAGCATAGAAAGGGTTCTTTATTATATCTATATGAATACATGTCAGCACTTCATAACTGCTCCTTATAAAGTACTAAATGTTATAATTATGTCAGAAGTATCACGAAAGAAAAGTTTACTTGATAGCATAAGTAAAATACATATACATGTATTGAATTCAACACCGAGTTCTCTCTCTCTCTCTTTTTTTTTTATAATTTAATTGTAGTCACATGCTTCCCTCTTTTATCTTCAGGTCCGGTTTCTTTATTTATTGACTGACCTCGAGCTACATTATGTAGTCCCCCAGCGGATGTTTCCTCATTAGTTCCGGATTTCACGTAGAGGCTTTTACTTTTCATTTGGGGTTTATTTGAGCCATCACTTTGCCCAAAGCGACATTCTTCAGTTTTACTATGAATATCATGAACTTTCTGTTCGCTTTTGTTTTTCTCATCTCTCTTTTGGTATCTTATTTTTGGATTATCTTCATGGCACATCCCTTCTTTACCAGGAGAATCTGGTTTTGTAGACAGGCAGTGTTCGTCAGTATTTTGTTTAGGCGCAGCAGGTGCCCGTTTTCTTTTGAAGTCTTCTCTATCACCTTTGGTTGCTTGAGCAACTCCTTTCGCCAGAATGGGACCTTTTTCATGCAGAAGTGTACAGGGCCAAACCACATAATCAAACAAATCTCCCGTGGCTGTGTACCGTGTGTAATATTTCTCATCAAAGGGTCCCTTACACTCCACAGCATAGACAATGACCATAGGCGGGGACTGTACGGCCATATACCAACACAGCTCCATGCACTTCATAGCATAACTTTTTAACCTTTCACCTTTGTTCTCCTTTACCTCAATTCTTCTTAAATACATCTGAAATTATGATTACAATATTTTATTGCATCTACGTATGCAGGCTTTATTTTGCAATGATATTGAAAACGCTAAATGAAATGCCTAAAATATGTCTAGAAAATGTTTCATAGAACCATAGGAAATTTTAATTGAATTGCTTGTCAAATAATTATGATGTTTTCTGAAAAAAATCTTGATATTACAGCATGCATTTTTACGAGGAACATACGTCTTGCACAGCAGTACTCGTTCTGGCGGCGGACACTCTTTTAAGTTGTTTGATTAATTCCTCTTCATCTTTTGTGGTATTTTTCTTGGAGCTCTGTTTTGCATATAAAACAAACATTTTCATAGAATTCATGTCTGAAGCAATACAGTTCCAAAACGGTTCAAACTACCTGGATACTACCACTATACGATAGTTTTATTATGAATTATGAATCTTGATAACTTGATAAAGCAGAAAGTAATAATATTAACAAAAACTTCATAATTAAAGTTGATATTTAGTTCTAAATTTTATCAGATAAGTCATGATAAAAACTTACTCTTGCATCCCCAGGAAAAGATGTGACGATTGATATCAAACTGGATTCAAAATTTTTTGCTTCTTTCATTGCAAAAGTAAAAGTATCCTACCAAAAAATCAAATTCTTATACAAAAAAAATCTAGAAAATGACGCATCACCGTCTCAAGATATTAAAAGAGGTATACGTTTTAGGATCCCACCTCTGATGTTTTTTGAGGTCCGTGTCTGCTCTGCTCCTGATTTGTATTGTTTTAATGGACTTTGAGCTTAAATACTGTTCGTTATCTCCACATTTCATCGATATCAAGTAAACATTTTTATAGAACTGCAAGAGGTCACCGAAATAAATCAGTATACCTGTACAATAAGTAGAAGATCTATGATACACTCCTCTTCTGTTTTTCCTTCTTCTGTTAACTCTTCAAATGCTTCAGTCCACTCATTATCATAAAGTTGCTTGAAGTTTTCACCGATTTTGGTTGGTCGTATCTCTGTGCTGAGGTCTGCAATGGATGGATTGTTGTCCAATAGTCGCCTACCCGCTATTTCACTGAGTCTACAACATTTAATATGAAAAATAGAATACTTCTGGTAGATTTTTACATTATCAAACAAACTCTGTGATGTAAATTCTGTAAAAATAATTATAATACGGAGCTCAGTTTATTTGTATACTAAAATCCTGAAGAACGATATATTAATATAGACTAGCGGCTTTTTCTTGTATGATTCGAGGAGAATGTATGCGTATGAGCCAAAAAAAAGGCTGAATTTTTTAATGAACTAGTAAGTTGCATTACTGGAATTGTAATTTTATAATAGTTTTTGGCATTAATAACCAATGCACTTTATGCAAATCGTGTATAATATGTATCAATAAATGCTTGTGATCCTACGTTTTACTATTATTTCTTTTTATACTAACAAGGTTAAGCAAAGGCAAACAGCAATACCTTGTGAGTGCCTCATTTTTTTCGAATGTTATTTTTTTCACCTGGGCTTCAAGGCTACTTTTTACTTGCTCTTCATTTTGTAATTTAGCCTCTAAATTTCGAATTTTCCTATCATTCTCTTTTTTCATTTTTTCCAAGTCTGTGCGTAATTTCTCTATCTGTTGTTGAGTTTCTTCATTGTTTGACCCCTGTTTATATTGCAATCTGCCTCTCTTATCTGTATGTTCCTCGTGTTTGGTTTCATTTTGTGAGTTGTCATTGTATTTATTGCAATGATTGCATTGATTTTGCATCTCTGTTTCTTTCTCATTGGAATTTTTCACATCTTCCCTTCGTTTTAATTCTTCTTTCAAATTGTCTACTTCTGATTTTTCTTTTTTTAGCTTTTCTGTTAACTCCTTATTTTCCACGTCTAATTCTTTTATCCTAATCAGGGCCTTCTCACATTCTTCAGTCATATTCTTGGACGTACTCTCAGTGTCATGGTCAATATAATCTGGATATGGTTCCATTTCATTCTCTTTGTTTTCGACAGTGACCGAATGATTTTTACTTTCATATTTATGGACCTCTACATTTTTCTTATTCTCAGCACTTCCTGCCTTACCCCGTTCTCTGTTCCTCTGGTCATACTGTTCATATGTTCCTGCGATCTTCATTTCTGCTCTATCTTGCATCCCTCCTCCAGATGTTTGTCCAGGATTTCGATGAGGCCCATGGTATTGCCTCGCTATCTGATTTTGACTTTTTCCTGGCATACTAGAGTCACACATTGCTTTTTCCGCTGAATTTCTTTCGTCTCCCGTACACCCAGTTCTTCTGTCTGTTCCTTCTTCTTTGTGGGCATCCATTTTAGGTTCCTCATCTCCGTTTTCTTTGATTATCAAGGTGTTCTGTTAAAAGGACAAAAAATAAGATGTGTTTCATTGTTTCTTCTGATATTCACTATATTAACTATTTTTACTAAAGTACCATAATCAATATTTCTTTTACCGTGATTTGAATAAGCTGTTTTGTTAATTCAGCTGTTCTCCTGATGATATACTGCTTCACAGACATAATTTCTTCATAATTTAAAAATTCTTTGTTTTTCAGTTCTGCAGCATAAGCGGACCAAGCTGTTTTCAATAGATCCTTCGCCGTTTTTAATTTGCCATTTTCCTTTTTTAGAGTCTGCTTTTCTTTTTTCTTTTTCTCTTTCTCTTTTTTCTTTTTATCTTCCTAGTTTTTAAAGGAAAGTTACAGCAGCATATTAGTAAAGAAAATTGTCTTTTTTTAAAAATAAAATTGACAATTTGAAATTCTTTAATTAGGACTACGTTTTCATACTTAAACTTTTTAGAAACTAAATCGGAGTTAGTGTTACCTCCCCACCCCCACCCCCCCCCCTCCACATAATATATATGTGTGTGTGTGCTGTATGTATGACTTGCACCACATGAACATATAAAATGAAATTAAATTAAATTGTGTAATCTAGCCCAGGATTAAGCTCCTTTTACATGGTTTTAAAGTGAAATTATAATAAATTGTGCTGTAAAAAGTTTTCATCCTAGAAACATAGTTACTTTCTGGTTACCTTAGTAACGTTTCCTTGATTGTCGCTCATATTAGAGTCTCTGATGGAGGTTTACTTCCACAGCATAATTATAGGAAATTGTCATTAAATGGGTGCGTATCTTGCAGTCATAATAATATCTAAAACGAAAGTACATCCAGAACCGGTATTTCCACATTTTAAACCTACCTGATACCTTATTGTGAAAATTAAATTTTACAAATACCCTACCATGAATGTATAAATTTTACCAATGATTACCTGTCAAGAAAAATCGTTGTAAATTTATATACTTATGTGACCAGTATTTGTTCCTAAAAAGGAGTCTAGCTCGGGTACTAGATATTCAACCAACTCTATAAGATGATCACAGAAAATTGGGTAAGGTTTTTATGAAAAAAAGAGAAATCTTAAAGGGTTAATACCTTTCAAAAAATTAAAAATTTGTAAGAAAGAGGGAAGAAAGGAGTATTAATTCTCTCAGGTATTCTCCATTCATTGCATACACTTTTTGTATGAAAAGCTTAAAAACCCGAAATAAAATTGTTTAAAAAATCATTTATTTTGTATTACCTTATATTCATATTTCTAATATTACTTCTACGATTCATCACAATTTAAAACTAGATGCTGTCATAAGACAGTATTACCCGCACTAAGGTGTTTGCCTCTAAAAGCACACTCCTTCATATTTGGTTAACCAAGGAAAAGACACAATAATTTTATAATTTACGCAGTACATGTATTTGTCAAATCGAGCCTAAAATGCTCAGGTGAACATGTGACCCATGGGCCTCTCATGTAAGTATTTCATGTACTAAATTCAATACCAATCTGAAATTATAGAATTTAATAAATGATGTAAATGATGTTTTGTTTTTTTAAAGAGGGGGAATGTAAATCTTGGCCCATAATTGGAACTTTTTAAATTTATTTTCAAAAGAACAAGTATTTTTATTTTAGTGCATAGCATTTTTGATGAACTTAAAAAAATTAGATGCCAATTTTCAGAATTGGTCAAAATGTGCAAACTTTTATCAGTATTTGAGTAGGTAAAAACCCTCTCCAAAACCAACACCGATCAATTTTGTCAAAATCACCCCCTTCCCCACAATTTGCCTGTTTTTGGAAATAAATAGCACAAAGTTATGTAAAAACATCGTTTGTAATTATAATATAAAATTTGTACATATACTATGTGTACACCTTTTTGAAAATTTCTAGACCCGCGCCTCGCATTGGACTTGCGTCACCCTACGAGAACTTGTTTTACAATTATCATTATTGGATTGCACATGGTGTACACATGATTATATCAGTAAGAATTTATTCTTTGTGTGTTTTATTTGAATTATAATTAATGAAGTTGACAGTATCTTTGACAGGCAGTAAATACAAGTTTAGGTATATATTGGGGTAAAATAATCTGAAATGCAAATGGTAAGGTAATAGTTTAAAAAGGGTCATAGATGATCATTCGGATTTCACATGCAAGTTATACATTGAAGCAAGTCCCTGGGGGTCATTACCATTCCCTAGATATGGAAATAATCAAAAAGCTTGAAATAAGATCGGAAAACCCAAAGCCGTCTTTGTATTTTGACATATTAAATGGTATAAGGGGTCATGACCCTGAAACGACAAATGATCATGTAACTCAAAAATGGTTGAAAACATTTCCCCTTGACCATACATAATTTTGTTTTTGTGTCATTATGTATCTAATGGTATAAAGGTTATGAACCCCCTTGAACTGGAAATGTTCACAATATGACCTGCATCAAATTCAAAAGTGAATCAATGATAAGATTGCTTGACATTCCATTTATGACTTTGGGTCAACCCAACCTCCTAGAATTACATGTAGGAATCATTCAGAGAGACACACTATTAAACATTGTGCACATTTTTGTATATATATTCACATTTTTTTTTCATGTCAAAACAAAGTATTGGTTTGCATACATGAACAAACTGGGGGCTGGAAAGGGGTAAAAGAGTAAAGGAGTTATATCTGCATGTCTTAATTGTTGAAAACTTCTAAAATTTGTGAATATTAACCCCATTTCTGACTTGTCATCATTATTTACTCTTCTCACAAAATACATGTACATGTTTATTAGTCAATAGATATATAATTTTGGTCATATTCTTAGTTCTTCCTTGAGTCTGGAATGATGATATAAATATTTGAAGAATGATCAAGAGTTGAACAGGTCTTGCTTCTGAAAATTGATTAAGCTCTGTGGTTAAATTAGCTATACCCGTATAGCTTAATTTTGCTATTTAAAACAACTTGTTTACCTCATGTATTTATTATCATACTGTTTTCTAGAAAACACAGTTTTTTTTCAATCTGGATAAAAGTCATACTATCGTGACATAGTATACATTTTCAGCTTTGAATTATTCTGAAAACAAGGCCTAAAACATGCTTTTCAAATATTGTAGCTCTTTCCGACCACTTGCGATCATAAATTTTTATTTTTGCTTAAGGCAATAAACCTGGGGCATTTTCTCTCTTTCCTTTCCTTTCTCTCTTTCTGACAATTAAAACGGAATAATATAAGAAAAGTTTGTTTTTTTAAATTAATAAACTTCCTAGGATTTTATAGGGTGTAATTCATACTGCAATTAGATTGATATCCCTCTCAGATATGAAAAAAAGAGTACTCACAATCATGTCTTTGATCTACATCTAATTACGAAAGGACACAGCCAGAAGTCTTTTTCATGATTTGTTACAAATGTCACATGGAACTCCTATTACTCAAGAACATGTAAGTTCTTAACTTGAATCCCTTAGAAAATACACGACTGTCTTCAGAGTATGCAAAAATTAAACTGTGTTAAATAACTTGAAAACAACTCACTGAACCGATTTGTTGAGACAGGTAAACATAGCCCTCAGGGTATAATTATCATAAAGAACCTCAATCTACAAAAAGTTTTAACTTATGTTAAACTTCATCACATAGTGTTAAATCAAGTTTGTCCAAATCATTACCTCCATGGGTAGGGTGGGGTCACAAAAGGGGATCAAAGTTTTACATGGGAATGTATAGGAAAAAATCTTCAAAAAATCTTCTCAAGAACATCTGGGCAAGGAAAAATTAAACTTAATATATGAAAATTTATAACAGTGTGTAGAATCAAATTTGTTCTTTCAAAACTACTCCTCCTACAGCTTTGATTGATTTCATTAATAACTGAAGCACAAGTAAACTATACTAAGATACATAATTCTGATTATTGGTTTCTGATTTTCTTGAGCACTATTGCCATGGTTAGTAAAAAAAAGAAGATATTTTTGTGAAATGCATTCAAACCGCTACTCCTCCTTGAGTTTTGGTTTGATTTAAATGACTTTGTGCACAATCAGTCTTTAAAAATGTACAAAATTCAATGTTAATCAGTTTTGATTTCATTGAACGATGTTGCCATGATTACTAAAAGAAGATTGAAAATGCAAAAAAAAAAAAAAAAAAAAAAAAAAAAAAAAAAAAAAAAAAAAAAAACGGGAAAAAACGTCATTCTTCGACCCCTATCCCCCCCCCCCCCCGATGAAAATAATAATTCTGGAACCTTATTGCATCTACAGGACACCACCAATCATCTTCAAATAGATGATAATGCTACTGCTTAAAATATTAGAGAATTTCTGGGAACCAAGGTCTTTTTGTATAAAATGTCAATTTTCGACCCCCATTTGACCCCCTAGGGTGAAAATGAAAATTCTGAAATTTTATTGCACATCTATAGAGCACCACTAATCATCTGCCAAAAGATGATTAGGGTACTGCGTTAAATGTAAGGGGGTTCTGGGAACCAGGTCATAGTAAAAAAATCATTATTTCCACACCCATATGACCCCTAGGGTGAAAATGAAAATTCCGAAACCTTATTGCACATCCACAGGACACCATCAATCATTTTCTAAAGGAGATTAGGCTATTGCATAAAATGTAAGAGGAGTTCTGGGAACCAGTTTTTTGTAGAAAAAATTTCATTTTTTGGCCCCCGTTTTGCCCCTGGGGTAATATTTAAAATTCCAAAACTTTATTGCACATCTACAGGACACTACCAGTCATATCCGAAAAGATTAATTGGTTACTGCTTAAAATATAAGGGGAGTTTGAGGAAAAAGAAAGGGTGACAGACGGACAGACAGACAGACGGACGGACCAGGGTAAGGACAATATAACAATTATTATATTATATGAATTTAATTCTCAAAATGAAATTCATTTTTTTAAATGGAAGTCCAACTTAGGAGATGCCAATCCTCAACCATATGGCTCCTCTGTATCTCAA